TACATTAATCCATTCATTCAGAGTTAGTTTTCATTTTATAACTCGTTTGACTTGAAAATCAATCTAACTACCTAGAGATTCTATATACTCACATTTATCCATATATGGACATACAAAGTCTCTAGACTACAATAAAAATGAAAGTCCCTAACTATAAATGAAGTAACTCGTTAACTATAATAAAGAGACTATGTCATAAGTGTTGATATTAATATAAATGTAACAACGACAACAAAAGAATAAGAGATGTACTGTTATAAAATCTTTAGTAAATATAGATGTCCACTACTCTCACTACTTTCACCCATGGTGTAAATAACCTCCCACTACTCATTACCATTATGATTGTAACTCCCACACCTCCATAATCCCTCCCCATGATCATCCCCCATGATCATCCCCCATGATCTCAATTGTTAATGTCATGTTTAAGACAATCATTTTGTAACCTTCATATGTAATAGTATAAATAGAGGCATGAAATGTGAGATGGAACACACTTGAACACTTGATGAAATAAGAAAGTTATCTATTCTTCTCTTATTCTACTTATCTTCTTGTTCTATATTGTTACTTTGAGCTACATTTCTTAACACGTTATCAGCACGATGTTGAGCTCTTTTCGTTGTTCAGGTATATTTGTTCATTTTGTTTTCTTCGTTGTATATTTTGATTTCATGATTAGTATCTTTAATATGAATTCTATGTTTCTTTATTAAGTTATTTGTATGATTGCCATGTGAAAGTTGCTAATTTCCATGTTAATAGAATTAATTGAGAGAAGAATACTTATTTTATGTTGTTCGACATTTGAAATTGTGTTAAAGTTAGAAGACATTTTGGTTCTAGTTAACATCAAAGATATACTAATAATTTGAAGAAACAAATAGTATTCTTTTCTATGAAATNATCAAAACTCCATCAAAAGAAAGGCAAATAATGTTGGAGCATCTTCTGCTAATGCCCCAGTGGAGTCTCACTTGACCTTTAAAAATGATTTTGAGGCAGGGCCTTCAAACAAAAATGATGACAATGCCGAGGCAAATCTTGCTTTGAATGATGATGATTTTCAAGGCCTCGATGATCTTACTCATTTGGAAGTTGAAGATTTCTTTGGAGATCAAAACTAAAGTTTGATCATTTCACTGGGGAATGCAATTATGTTGTTATTTTTATTTTCAGTATTTTTTTCTCGTTCAAAGTTGTTTTTATTTTCAAGTAGTACTTAAGTTGTCTTATGTTGTCGTTGGTGATGTTAGTTTTTTCGTATTTCTCATGATATACTTTTATTTTTTTATGAAGAAATTAAAATTCCCCAGTCTTCAATTGGATCCAAGATGAGTAATGAAGATTTATGTCTTTTGGATAGCGCTACAACTCACACAATATTAAGAGAAAAGAAATTTTTCTCTTATTTGGTTATGAAAAAGGCCTATGTTAATACAATATCTGGTAGTACAAAGTTGATTGAGGGCTCGGGAAGAGCGGCTTTATCACTACCTGGAGGAACGATATTAACTATTGATAATGCATTGTATTGTAGTAAGTCACAAAAAAACTTGTTGAGTTTCAAAGCTATTTGCCAAAATGGCTACCATGTTGAGACATCAAACGAAGGAAAAGTTGAATACCTTTATATTACTACAAAAAAAGCGGGGAAAAAATATGTACACGAAAAATTACCCGCATTTTCTTCTGGGTTGTACCACACAAACATTGGTGTGGTTGAATCAAATGCCATAGTAAACAAAAGGTTTACTACTTCTAATGATTTTATCATTTGGCATGACCGGTTGGGCCATCCCGGTTCTAACATGATGCGCAGAATAATAGAGAATTCAAATGGGCACACGTTGAAGAACAAGAAGATTCTTCAATTTAAGGAATTCTCTTGTGCTACTTGTTCTCAAGAAAAATTGGTTATTAAACCATCAGCAGCTAAAGTTGGGATTGAATCCCCTGCATTTCGGAGCCGTTTACAGAGAA